TGAGATACAGGCAGGGACCAGATCTTGCTAGGCCTTGTAGGCCACAATTTGGGTCAAATGGTGCAAGACTATTTATTCCAACCTGAGACATTTGAACTCAATTGTATGGGTAACAGGAAGGCAACAAAGGATCTGAAAGGAGAGAAATGAGGCTGGGTTGTTTTATAGAAGGACAGTGGAAGTTGTGTAGATGGCTGCAACAGAATGAGGACAGCTTGGAGACCAAAAAAAGACAGCCTACACAAGGGCAGGCTCAACGTGCACAGGAAAAGGGGGACCCCAGAAGCAACTCTGAAGTGCAATCAGCTGCCTTCAAAGTGTATGTCCCAGCCTGCTTTCTGAGTCCAAAGTCAAAGCCCCCAGTATATCCCAGATGTACCGGCCTGCCATGGAGGAGTTATTAAGGCCCTCTACCTCATCTGGGATCTGTGCCGGCTATGACAATGAGAAGATGAGGTACCAATACATAGAGACAGTTAGCCACTGTCCCTACTGGATGACAGGTGACAAACCAAGGTTCCTGGGACCTCAGGATTCAAGTAAAGGGTTCAAATCCCTTTCCTTCCCCTTTAGTGATGGTGGGGGTGGGGTGGCATGGTCAGAGTTTCTCCAAAAATGGTCTGCAGATGATGACTGTATCAGAGTCACTTGGAAGGCTAATCAAAATGCAGATTCCTGGTTACCACCCCATACCCACTCAATCAGAATAGCAGGAGTAAAGACCAGGAATCTGCATTTTAAGTAAGTATCCAGCCCTCACTGCTCACTAAGCCCCCATGGGTAATTCTGATGTATTAAAGCTTCAAAATCATAGCTCTAGGAACAGAGCTTATAGGGGAGGGCCCTCACTTGAGGCTGGCTGACAGTGTCAAAATTAGGGGACTGTGTAGAGCCAAGAGTCAAGCTGGGCATGAAATAATCTAAAAAAATGAGTCAGAACAGAATATGAAATTTGAAGGTCCCAAAGCAGTAAATAGAAGGCATGACATCAGAGCATGGGGCTTAGCGAGCAGAGGATTCAAAGCCAGGGAGCATTTTTGGGGAAATCACCAACAATGGCCATGAACTCCGGCTCCCGGTAGAGCACTGACAGGGGAGCGCAGATGCTTCACCTCACAAAGGCCAGGCGATCGGGCCACAGACTGCCGGGTATGTGCAACCACTCCGTCCAACCATCAAAAAGAGAACAACATCCTTCCTCAGCAAGCACTGTTTCTACCCCAATGACTGACCCTCAGCACCCGCCATGATGCCAGCTACCAGTCAGTCTGCAGAGGAGCTCCAGGCTATGTTGGAAAACATGCAGAATACCTCTAAGGGCTAATGACTAAACCTACTGACCAAGATTCTCCACTTGGCACGTCAGAGCGCCCTGATGCCGCCATAAGCTCTAGGATCGTTCCAGGTCAGAAATGTTGAAGCCCACTGCCTTCACACCTCAGATCCTACCGTCTATGCACACCCAGCCGTCTTCCACTACTCCTTACTATGCCTCACCAATAGAGTCCCACCCTATATTCTACAGTCTCATGTCCCTGCCCACAATTTAGAGAGAAATTCCACAGATTCAGATTTTGCAGGGAGACTTGAACTTCTGCGGCTAGCTTCTATGCCTGGTTTGGTGGGAGGAGGTGACCTGAAGGAATGCTCACCCTACCTGAAGGGTGTATCCTCAACCCACCTGGGAGCATCAGATTGCTACAGGCTTCTATACAGGAAACTTTTAGAAAATATGAGCAAGTTAAACCTAGTACATTTAAAAGGAGGGAAGGAAGGCTCTTGGGAGCAGAAACTGAAGCAGGGGAAAAAAGGAAGGATTTCTGGAGATTTGTCTTTAAAATGTATATAAAATACAAAGCAATGTGCGATTTAGCTTAAACCCTTGTGTGTCAACTATCTGATCCTTCCTAAAATCCAAAAGCTGGTTCCACACTGAAGAAGTAAGAACACTAAAAGATGATTTAAGTAATCCCAAAGATTATTTATGGCCTTACTCCTGAACTGCTTGCCCTGTTCCTTCTTATACTCCACCCACCATTCTGATTCTCCAGGCTTTTGACCTAATGATTCAGCTTCCTGTTTCATCCTTGCCTCACCTTATCCCTCAGGCCTTTTACTTCCTTTCTTGCTTAGGATTCCACTTCACTCTCAGTTATTCTGCCATCAGCCACTCAGAATAAATAATCTACCTACCCAGATCCTCAGCCTTGATCCAAGGCACTCATGCCCTCTTCACGGGCAAGTCCCCTGCCAGGTATAGCCTGATTTTATAAGGTGTCTCTGAGAGAGACAAGCATGTTAGATGATTCATCCAGGAAAACACAGGAATCACCAAAGATGGAATAAGGAGAATGACAACGAGCCAGGCCAAATGTCTAGACCTCACTCTGCCATTCTAAGCGCACCTTCTTAGCCCTCAGGTAATACCCCTGGTACTCCAATCCCTCCTGCCCACCACCATCACCTCAAGGGATCCTCTATCCTACAAGAACTAGGACTAAGAATACATGATGAGCAAGACATAGGCCTCTGTCTGATAGAACTTACAGTCTAATGAAGGAGACAAACTAATTACAATATGTATAACAGTTAAAGGCAATGCATGCGGAGATATAAGATTAAGAAGCTGAGTCAGGTGAAGTTACACCTAAGATGAAACTTGAAGGGTCAACAGGAGACACCCAGGCAGTGGCATGGCACCAGAGGAAGAGTGATCCAGTTTATATAAAGATCTGCAACAAGAAAGCATATCTGAAGAGATGGGATGAGCTGAGGAGGTAGGGAGGTCAAGGTAGAGAATGTACCAGGGCAGATGATGCTACAGAGACCCAGAAGGGCCTCAACCAACAGGCATGTGAAAAGATGCTCAATATCACTAATTATCAGAGAAATGCAAATCGAAACTATAATGAGGTATTGCCTCACACCTCAGAATGGCCATCATTAAAAAAATTCATAAACAATAAATGCTGAAGAAGGTATGGAGAAAAGGGAACCTACATTGTTAATGGCAATGTAGTTTGGTGCAGTCATTATGGAAACAGTATGGTGATTACTCAAAAAACTAAAAATAGAGTTCCCATATGACCCAGCAATCCCACTCCTCGGCATATATCCAGAGAAAACTCTAATTTGAAAAGACACATGAACCCCAATGTCCATAACAGCACTATTTACAACAGCCAAGACATGGAAACAACCTAAATGTCCACTGACAGAT